AGGACACCACAACATTAACTTTTTGTTTTGTATTGCATTTTTAGAGATGAAGAAAATTGGTTTTGTATTTTATCCAGAAAGGCAAATGACAGTGAGAAACTAATGCCAAAACCAAAACCAGGACAACATTTATAGAGTTTCTTGCTTTGTATCGCTAATGGAACATACAAGAACCATCGCTGCAGACATTTGCTGCTAGCAACTGGTAAACAAAGCATTGAGTCAAAAGTATTTTGCTTTGGTAAACAGAAAAGATGTTATACTCTGGCATGACAATGTAAGGTCACCCTCTGCAAAAGAAACATGGGAAAAATGTGAGGTGATTCCACATCTTCGATACTCACCAAATTTAGTGCCAATAGATTTATAGAAAGAACTTTACTACATTATTCGGACTATTGTCCTCATCTTTGTTGCCATATTTATCACAACGGCAATTGTACGTGGTAGGTGGTTGGAATGTCGAACTGAACCTTTTATTTCGCTCGCTGTGGTAGACTGTTCTAGTTCCACGTGCCATGTCTAATGGATGTCAGTTATCAGTTATCTGCTGTTAATTCACCTCTCCAAGTTCGCCACTGCCTTAACAAGGTATTTGGGACGTGTCACTGGATCTAACCAACGCCTTTATCCACTGTGCCATATATCTTAAGGACATCTGTGTATGAATTTCTGCGGCTTATAAACTTAATGTCTTCAGCAACTATTTTTTTACCAGTGATCATTTTGCAATTTTTGCTGTTATCATTGCATGTTTTTTTTTTGTTTTTTTTACCAGAGCCCATATTGAAATTTTCGTTGTTATTATTGCTTTTTCTCAGGCACTCTTAATTAATGGTTCCCAGGTTGTATTCATTTCTATGCTTGGTCGGCTCAAGAGATTTTTATGTCCTAGGAAAAGCAACGGCCGAAACGTTGTGATAAATATGGCAACAAAGATATGGACAATAGTCCAAATAATGTAAATAGTGTACATAATACCTCATCTCAGAAATATAGACAGAAACTTTTCTTTCGATCACTCGATTCCATAAGTGGCAGAAAATTTGGCAGCTATGGAATTGAAAATAATCAATCAAACATTATTGAGAGAAATACTCAAAACACTTAACTGTTGTTGTTCCTGGGTCAGCATGTAACCCGTGGTGGTAGCGCTGGGACTTATAAACTTACAGGTTCACTATTTACCCAGTTATGGGTTAATAGTGAACAAAACAAAAATCAACAATACATTTTTATAGCAAAATAACAATCAATGAAACCTAAAAAATGTAAAAATACATTTCTATAGTAAAATTATCAACAATAGAATTTATGATCTACAAACTAAATTTCTAGGAAATATACCTTCACCCTGAAAGTATAAAATTATGAACAAAATATCTGTAGTTGAAAACATTAAAATTATATACAAAATGTTTTGATTTAGGGATTAAATAACCCATAAATGTGTCGATATGCCGCTTTAAACAACCAACCAACCAATCGCGAAACACTCAGCTTTCATTAAGTGAGGAACCGAAAGTTTAATTTTCTGTTTGGCTGCAGTTATTGACATTTTTTAATAAATAATATTTTAATAAATAAATTTAATTACATTTGTTTTTTAAATCTTTTTCCGTCAAACACGTTTACTTTCTTAACACCCTAAGATTAAGGGTCTAGGCTAAGCACAAGTAGTTTATACCGTCTGGGTGCACATTATCCTAACATATATACCTTAACTTGAAATGAATTTCGTTCAATTAGACGTATTGGCAGTCTATGGTTTATTGGTGAACACAAGCCTTTCAGAAAACTCCCCTATTAATGGTAAGCCTGATTGGTTAAGGAAGGTCAAATTGGCAACTGAGATTAAAAAATGAGCTACAATCTATTGTTAACTGGGGCAAGAAATGGCTTGTTTTGTAATGTCTTAAAAATCAAAACTAATCTCTTTTAATCGTTTGAGAGAATTTTTTTATATTTTGTTAGTATGGCTGATGCTAACCACCAGTAGAGTAACTTCTCGGGATAACTTTTTCTGAAGTCCGCCTGAATTCTCTACTTTTGTTTTCGCTCCTTAGTAATGTTTCTGTTTTCTATTTATTCTTCACCCACTAATCCCTTGTGTCTTAGTGGTTTTACTGCCTTGATTGGGAAGAAGTTGATTAAAAAAAACAAAACAAACAAAGACATTGAAGGTCAGATGGACATTCTTGGACAGTAAACGGTCAGCTAACATATTGGCCTATATAACTATGTTTTCAGAAAGTGCTGTAATCGTTGTAGGGAAGGCTTTCTTTTTCTTTTGGCTGTGGCTTAATTTCAATAACTAATAAATTTCCAGCTTTATACCCAGATAAGTGGAGTGGGTAACTAAGGTTCTCAGTTGCCTAACGACCCTAAGATCGCATCCGTTCAAGCGACTGATAACGATGATGATGAAGGAAAAGTCATTTCTTGAAGAGTATTAGTCTGAAGGGAACTAAAAGAAAGAGTTTCACATGGCATTTGAAACCTGTTCCCGAACAGTTTTATGAACGCATCTAACCGTTATGCCACCTCAAGCCCAGTTCTGTAACCATTGAGCAATTAACTAAAACGTTTCTAATCAATTGTTGATTGAGTGAGAACTCGATTCCGTCTAGGATGGGCCAGGTCCGCTATAATATAATCAAATAATCACGCGATTTTCGAAATATAAAACTTTTAGAGAGGTTTAAACAGCAAAATAAAAACATTTTTCTTTTTTTCTATTTCTCTCAAGAAAGTCATTGTTTTTTTTTTTTACTTTAATAAAATTTATTCGTTTTTCTAACTTTTCATTATAGACAGAACGTTCTGGAAACACGCAGCTTCTTTCTGCTAAGGGATAAACTTTTTCTTGTTTTAATTTTTTTACTAAAAAAATAAAAAAAAAAATTATGAGAAACTAATAAATAAAAAATATTTTAAAATCAGTTTTGAAAATATTGACTTCAGTTAAATTTTAATTTGTTTATTTAGCGCGAAAACGAACAAGACGCTATATGTAAGCTTAAAAAAAATTAAATTATTTATAATCGTTAATATGCAACAAATAGTTTCTTAATTTTTTTAAATTCATTTTTATTTCTTAGCAACAATTATTTCATAAAGTATTTACTTTTATTTACTTTGTAAACGATTCTACAATTTTACATATTTATTGGAAATTTGTTAATTTCATTTCCTTCCTTTTAATTGATCGTTCACTGTAGCTTATTTGGCAAGTTGATTAAAATAATGCAGAATAAATACTGGGAGAAAACCGTCTGCATGCGTATAGAAAACGGATTCATTAAACATATAAAAATAGAAAGAGGTGTAAGACAAGGAGGGGTCTTCTCACCGGACTTATTCAAACTATAGACAGCGACGATTCTGAGAGAATTAGAAGGTCTTCAAAGATTCATTATTGGCGGTCACAATCCTAGCAACATAATATATGCAGATGACTTATCAGGCGGCAGCAAGGAAATTACATGAACTCCTACAGAAGGTAGTGAAAGAAAGCGGGAAGAAAGGACTAAACCACAAATTCAAGGAGACAGAATGCATAGTTGTTAGCAAAAAGGAAAAAAAAACAACATGCAAATTTACAAATTGCAGATACCAAAATCAAGCAAATACAACAATGTCTAGAAAGTATTTTAACAGAGAACGGAAAGTATAACACTGAAATCAGATGGTTCACTTGGATAGCGAAAGATGCCTTCCAGAAGTTAAGCAAAGCATTAAGAAACAGGAAAGAAATCGTTAGAAACAAAGAAAAAGACTACTTAACTGTTACTTAATATCAGTGTTCTTATATGGCAGTAAATGTTGGACAATCTTCTCACAGCAAGAAAAATGTGGTTCTACAGAAGGATGCTGAGAATGCCAAGGTTCGAACATATAAGCAACGACGAAGTTTTAGAGAAAATTAAAATAAAAAGAACATAAGAAAGAATTGAAATTTCTAAGGTATATAATGAGGAAAAAGGGCTTGGAAAATTTGATACTCACAGGACATTGAACGCAAGTAAGACAGAGGAAGACAACGCCTAACCCGCTTAGCAAGCTGTAATAAAAGTATCGCGGAATGAGATTTAGGAGAGCTACAAAGGAAAGGAAGTCGTGGAGAGCATTGATCGCCAACGTCTTGAAGGGAGACAGCACCTAGAAGAAGAAGACGGTTAATTTGGCCTGGTTCAAAGTAGCAAGTCTTTTGGCACAGTGAGAGGTTCGATATTGTTTAATCGAAATAGTGATATATTAATCTCTATCGGTTTCCATTATATAGAGAGGAGACATCCTTATATAGTTTTTTTTACAAGAGGCTCAGAGTAAGACAACAATGACCACAGTTTGAACAACCTTAATCAATATTATACGATGTGATGTTCATTGCTGTAGGTATGAGCCTATTTACTTATAACAAACAGGTGTCCCCTTGTACATTTTACCCGAAGCAGCTCACATTATTATTATTATTATTATTATTATTATTATTATTATTATTATTATTTTCCTATTATAATTGTGTTTCTCCCTTTGTTAATTTGCCCGACCGTTACGCCTCATAAATAATGGACTATTCCGTTTTAATCTCGTGGAAAGAGGGGTAAAAGACACTAGTTGGTTTCAGTTGTTTTTTTCTTTTTTTACGGGTATATCAACACCTTATGGGTCATTTAATGTCGAAATGATATTCTCTTGGGACATTTGGTAATTTATTTTTTTTTTAAAAATGTATTTCTTGTATTTATTTTATTTTTACTAAGAAAATGTATTGCTGGTAATTTTTTTCTAATGTATTTTCATATTTTCATGTATTGACTCCAGTTTAGGGCTTCATTATTTGCCCATAGCTGGGACCCTAACAGTTGCTACCACCCCGGATCAGCGTGGTCCTGGGGACACCAGCAATTAAGAGGGGGTTCCACGCTCCTCAAAACCTCCCGATCAGAGGCCTTGCTGCCGGATTTAGTTTATCGTCATACCCAGGACGATTATTTTCAGTGAGAAAATGAAAGAAAGAAATACGGGAAGATAGAATGAGAGAGAGAGAGAGAGAGAGAGAGAGAGAGAGAGAGAGAGAGAGAGAATCGGATTAAATCGATAAGACCAGACACTACACTTTGATTTCAGCTAAATCGAGTGTATTCACTTGTCGCCCCATGCTGGCTGGGTGTGACACAAGGTCAGTTTAATATAGGCATCCCGAGCGCGTTCACCTTGGCCAGGTAAAAAATAACCCTGCCTCAGCAACCGTCGGTTACGTCGGTATTATTATTACAACAGATTCCCACTCTTTAGTGCAATGAGGGTGTTACTGCCTGGGGCGGTTGTTTGCAGACACGGGGCGCTTCTCAATAATATTTTTAGTTGCAATCTGTCCGCAGAGACAGAATTGTCTTGCGCTCTGTACGAGGACTGAGGTACAACTGACGGATAAAATGTTTTTTATACGCCCGAGGGTAGATACTACACTTTACTCCCAGCCAAAAGGTCGATGGCTAAGTCATCTTGCAAACTTAAAAAAAAACAAAACAAAAGATAAGACTTTTGAAACTCGCTATTCCCGCTTATGAAAAGTGGTTTTATCTCCAAGGGGACAATTGATTAATGTCAAGCAGGTGTTACCAAACTGGATTCTAATCCGCGCCTATCATGTAGATGGTAAAATGGTAAGATCAGGAGGCAAGACAGCCATTCCCTATATATCATTATCATCATTATATTTCGATTTCTACTCTGGTCCTACTACGTACTAAACCCGTGGGACGGCAAGTAGTGGTGTGTTATGGGTATATTTCATGATTTGTTTGTCTAACTCTCATAACATCACTAGCGTTACAGGGACAAAGTTCTTAATGTATGGGTTGTACTTATTAAGACGATTTTTTTCTTTTTCTCTTAAGTTGGGATTTCCAGGGATTTTTAATGTGTTGTTTGTTTTCTTTTTTATCATTCCAAGCGCACCTACTATGACTGGTACTATTCTTGTTTTCAATGTCCATATACTATTATTAATATTATTGTTATTACTGTTATTATTATTATTTTTGTTATTGGTTTTATTGTTAGTTATTATTATTGTTGTTTCATTCCCTTTGATTTCTGGTGTGTACTCATTTATTTCCAGGTCCCGTCCACAGACATAATGTCAGAAATAGCGTCATAACATTTTCCACTGAGCAATTAAAAAAACCAAAAACAAGTAAAAAAAAAGAAGAAAAAACAAATACAGACACATTTTACATAGATAAAGCCCTTCGTAAGGTGTTATTATTATTATTATTATTATTATTATTATTATTATTATTATTATTTTCTTTGATTTCTGGCGTTTACACATTTCTTTCCGGGTCCCGCCCAGGGACCTAAGGTTAGAAATGGCATCATGACACTTTCCACTGACGAAAAAAAAAAAAAAAATTACATAGATAAAGCCCTTGGTAAAGTGTGGGCTGTACTTGTCAGAACAGTTTTTGTATCTCCTTTAGGCATGGGCTTCCAGGAATCCCTTCAATTAGTCTACTACAATCTTTTTCAACCAGTCTTAGGGCTCCAGCTACAACAGGGATTGTTGATGTTCCCATATGCCACATTTTAGAGATTTCTATTTCAAGGTACTTGTATTTTATTATTATTATTATTATTATTATTATTATTATTATTATTGTTGCCTTCCGGAAAACTAAATTTTATTCACGTTTCTGTTGCATTCTATTTAATTGGGTGCGTTTCCATCCTTTTGGGGTGCTGAATAGTAGTACAACCGTTTTTCACAAGAGAAGCGTCGTTTCCACAAAGATTTGTATTTTTCATATTTTTTATATCCGGGAATATTTTTTTTTTCAATTTTAACTAACCTTCTTGAACTATTCCTTTTTATGTATTCCAAAAGGATCAGACTGTGACCCGCAAAATATCTTTATTCTGTAACGTGGGTCAATTCGTTTTCCTGTCGACCAATTAGAATGCAGCTTTATCTTCATTTCATCCCTGACTGACATAAGTCAAACCATGTCTCACCAACTAAATGTTGCCTTCTTGCATAGATGTGACGACATATATGCCGTATAACTTGTCACGAACGACGTCACTCTGCGCATGGCATCTTGGACGATTTTTAAGCTTGCCCTACTTAGAGAAGACACGACCACATTATTACACGTTCGATCAAATATTGTTTTTCCAAGAAAATTATCATCGCAACCCGTACGAATATCGCTTTTAAGGTTTTTTTCATGCTCAACCTGATACTGTTCAAAATTTGGCTCTTTTTTTTTTCAAAATTTGTTTTTTCCGTTCAATTACTATTATCAAACCAAACCAAACCATGTCAAGTAGTTCTTGGCTTATACACCCAGAACGTATGCGATCATGGCTCTCCACCTCACTTGCAGCTCTCAACAAGTTCTTTCCCACTGCTACCTCCTTTAGACCACATTATTCCATCCACTTGCTTAAGCCCGCCAGGTATGTCATGCATTGTTTTCCATTGTCTCTCTTTCCCTCTATTCGACCCGTGAGTATCAGATTCTCCAGGCCCTCCTTCCTCATTATATGTCCCAGAAGCATCATCTGCCTCTTTGTGATATTAAGTATAAGCCTCCTCCTTGTTTGCATGATCACTAAGACCTCATCATTGCTCACAAGCTTAGCATCCTTCTGTAGAACCAGATCTTCGTCCCCTCCAGTCTCTTCTTCATCTTTGAGGAAATCGTCTAACATTCGCTGCCGTAAAGAAGGACATATGTCATATAACAGCTCAATATTCTTTTCTTTGTTACCAAAAAAATCGTCCTATTCAGCTTTTGGAAAGTGTCACTGGCCATCCCAATACGCTTACCGTCCTCTGTCAAGACACTTCCCAGGTATTTAAACTTCCGCGTTTGCTTGATTCTAGTGTTCCCGACTTTCAGATCGCATTTCGTGCTAATCATCTTACTAACTACCACGCACTCCATCTTCTTGCAGTTTATGCTTAGTCCCTTCTTCTCACTATCAGTCGATATCTTCTGTGGGTGATTTTGTAATTGTATTTCCGTGTTTGCTATCAGTATTGTGTCATCTGCGTATCTTATGCTGTTAAGATTGTAGCCGCCAATGCTAAATCCTGGTTGGGTTTCCAATTCTCTCAGAATTGCTTTGCTGTATAGGTTGAATAAGTCTGGTGAGAAGACACATCCTTGCCTTACGCCCCTTTCTATTTTTGTATATTCGCTGAACTCGTTCTCTATGCACATGCATGCTGTTTGCTGCCAGTATAGGTTCTTGATTATTCTGATATCTTTCCCGAATATATCAAGATTGTTGAGCAGTTCCATCAGATCCTTGTGGCGTTCTTTGTTCAAAATCTTTGCGTAGTCTATGAAACATAGGTACATGTCCTTCTGTATCGCTCTTTCTTATAACATTCTGAGTATGAATATCATGTTCCTTGTTTCAGTGTTTTTAACGAAACCGAACTGTTCTTGTCCTATCTTTAGGCTGATTCTGCAGCGCGCGATATTCATCAGAATACGGATTGAAACAAAACGAATAATACCGTTATTATTTACTTTATTTTTTTTTTATTTTCCAATGAAATATCATCCAGTGCACATATTAGTACTTCGTATGTCCATTCCACGAAGTCGTTCCCTGCAGATTGATCACAGATTCTCGATTGAATTTAAATCAGGAGAGTTTCCGGGCCAGTCTATAGAACTTTTTTTCATTGGTTAGGCTTGCCAGTGTTTTCGTGCAGTGTTACATTTTTTTCGTACTCTTCCTTGGAATAACGTCCATCAACAAACAAAAGCCGTAGGACAACTAATCGACAGTCGGGTCTATTGTGTCTGGGAATGATAAAAATCTAATGACGCGATATTTTTCAAGGCTAAGCAAATTTCATCATAGACTCCAAAAACAGATTCATATTACTGCAAACTACTGCAAATGATCTAATCCGAGGAAAAAAAAAATCGATTACACCCTTTCACTCCAGTGGGTCTAAAACTGACTGTATGGTGAAAGAAAGGAAATTAAAGTGGTTGTTTCAATTCATTTACACAGGGGTGTATATACTGGCAATAAATAATTAGTTAATATTTGATAAGCTTGATAGGCGGGGGTGGGGGTATTTGTGTGAATTCATGTCTTTGAAATATCTTGTCAGCTGGTGCAGGACAATCATTGATGTCGGTGCTTCGAACACGATTTACGAATTGCCTCTAATTCATTGCTAAAGTTGAAAAAAAATGCGGAAATTATTGCGTGATATCTCGTTGGATGCTCCCTAGCGATTAATACAGTACAAGACCCCACATGTCGGGCTGATGTTATTAACATTCAACATTGCTTTAAATAAAAGGTTTGGAAAAAGCGATAACAGTCAGTGGACTTGAGAACACTATTTTCCTTAAAATATTGTTTTCATAGAAAAAGATTTTGAAATTTCCATCGATAATAGTACTGACTGTTCGGTCAATGAAGGCCGAATGTAACTCTAGAGCAGGGGTCGTCAAACTGGGTTTGTGAGACCCGCTATGGATCGGTGATGAGTTCCAGGTCGTCTATGATAGTCAAGGGGTCGAATGGAGGTCGGTGTGCGAACAACTTGCACAATATCAGGCACAACCAATTTATCTCTGCCAAAATCGGTCTTTTATATTTTTTTTTGAGATGATTTAATATGCCTTATCTACATTATTCGGACAGTTATCCTCATCAATATATATATATATATTATATATATATATATATATATATATATATATATATATATATATATATATAGGGTGTAACAGTAAAATTGTCCATTTTTAGATTAAGATCTGAACTGTTGTATGTTAGAACTGATTAAAGATATCTTACTGGAATTTTCCGAGGATTATTATAACACAATTGGATTATAATTACTCTCCAAGCGAGAATCGTAATGAAATCGATCATAAACAAAAAATGCTATGCTCATCAGTAATTAATCATAGCTAAGGATCAGAAGCTCATGAAAAATTGAAATAAATTTCATATATATATATATATATATATATATATATATATATATATCATTCCAGGATTAAAGTTATATGTATGTGTGTGTGTGCATCAAATGAAGATAAGTGAAGAGGTTATATGTTTGCGGCTAACCTTAAGTTTCATGTTTAAATTTTTATAACGATTCCGAGGTATTTATCTAAGGACCAATTTATAAAGAAGTTTTATTCCGACAGCTTATCTTCCTTATCCACTTAATGCCCACCTCTTACTAATTTCTCTTCTCATTTCACACATCATGACAATTTCAGCTGTAATTCTCTTATTGGAGTGGCTCTCAAGCCTTGAATTTGGCTATATTTAATAATAAAATACTACGCTGGGGGCACTGCACGAATCGTTCATGAAAGCAGAGCATGTTGACGTGGAATTATCATTATTAATTTATTACGAAATTCCGACATCTGGACTCGATCTAGATAGCTGTCGGGCTCGCGATTGACTTGTCGAACTCTCTGCCTTCTGGCAGAGAGGCACACAGGTGAGGCTATGTCGAAGGTCAGAGTCTCGTCTGGGGAGGTAGACAAAACTGACCATCTGTATGCGCGGTCTACGGGGGAGTTTCAAGTAAAAACTGGTCTTTTGCTGCGTCCCACCTTGTGGGGAGTTTTGATAAATACCTACACTACCTCTCGCCTGTGGAACGCCTTTCCCTATTACTGTTTCCCTGAGAGCTATAATCTCCAACTATTCAAGTGTAATGTCAATCGACATCTCCAGTTGCCTTGATCTATCCACTATCCCTCTCCTCATCCTTTCCTCTATCACTCTATCTGCTGTCGCTCTAAATCCTCTGTAACCCCTTGTGTCCTAGGGGCTTCCCACCTTGCTTGGGGTGAAACGCTTACAAAAAACAAAAAAAAAAAAAAAACACCAACCACTCATGCCAATAGAAAATGCTGTAATCTTTTCTCCCAAAAGCAAGGTAGACATTTCTTTGCAAAGAACAAGTTTAGCTTTTATATAACCCCGTTGTGAACCTTGCCTTTACTTTATGTCATTAGAAGGACCTTATATTTGACGATTTTTATACTGCTCTCCTTGTGTCGTCTCATTTCCGGTCCCTTTTCCTTCCCTACACAGGTCGCTTTCAATAACTTCTAATATTCAGAATACAATATTATATATATATATATATATATATATATATATATATATATATTTGAGTCAAATAGAGCCAGACTGTGTTTGACATCATGATTAGGATGAAGCTGTCTTTTGTGAAAAGATTAACGTAGCTTATACGTCATCTTTAATTGATTTGTCTTATCAACGATTCACCATTTTACCCTTGGATCGGGAAAAGAGAGAAAGGAAAGAGCAAAAAGTAGAATACGGCGATAAGACGAAGAAATTAAAATAAGAACTGTCGTCAGTGAAAGAAAGAAAGTCAAAGACAAAAGAGGAGGGGAGAAAAGAAAGTTTAAAAGAAAGAAGGGTCAAGATGAAATAAAAAGGGGAGATATTTAAAGGAAGGAAGGAAGAAAGAAAGAAATGTTAAAATAAAGAAGAGTTAAGAGAAAATAATAGAGAGAAGGAAAGGAACAAAGAAAGAACGAACGGTTAAAAAGAGTGAAAATAAAATAAAATAAAAGGTGAAAATTGAAAAAAAAAATACGGGATGGAAATAAAGAAGAAAAAAAAGAAACAACGGAAGAACAAAATAAAGAGAGAAAGAAAGAAAAAGTTTAAACAGGAAAAAAAAAAAAGAAAAAAAAAAGAGAAGGCGAAAAAAAAAGACAAAGAATGGAAAAAGAAAGCAGTGTTTAAAAATGTAGTTAGAAGGAATAAAAGATAAAAGAAAGCAAGAACGAAAAGAAAGAGGGGAGTGAAAATACAGAATAGAAAGAAGCAATGAAAACATAACAAAATAACAAAGATTAAAATATTAGGTCGTTCGTATTTAGAATAAACGTTTTAATAGTATATTATTATAATAGACCTTTGTAATCTAGGGAAGGTTACTGAATAGAATAAGCAAACGATGGTTGGTCATGAACAATAATACTTAGTACAAGAACAACACATATAAGATTCGCCAGCGGCGCGTAGAAGAAGTAGACAACTGCAAGATAAGAGTCAAGTGAATTCCGCAATAAATCTCCAAATCTAGGATATCTACCAACCGCTCCACACGGTCAGATGTGGCACAAGGCCGAATTTTATGTGGGGTATCCGAGCCCGTAAACTCGGCAAAAATTCTGAATAGAATCCGTATAAAAACGGGGTCGGGTAGCTGTTTTCGAGGACAAGAGACTGCCCATTCGACATAGCCTCGTCTGGGAATCATCTCTCAACTCTCAGAGAGTTTGACCAGCACAGCTGGAGACGAATCTCCAACTGCAGGATATCTACCAACCGCTCCACACGGTCAGATGTGTCACAAGGCCGAATTTAATGTGGGGTATCCGAGCCCATAGGCTCGGCTAAAAATTCCCCGTAGACCCTGCATAAAACGGGGTCGGGTAGCTGTTTTCCGAGACGAGACTCTGACCTTCGACATAACCTCGTCTGGTGGTGCTCTCTGCCCAGAGGCTGAGAGTATGAGCAGCATAGCTGGAGACGAATCTCCAACTTTAGACCAACATACAGTATTTACTACTGTATTTATGGGAATAGGGAGATTCCAATTATTGTTCGTAGTTATGCCACAACATAGACAAAATAAAAATAAAATAAAATAAAAAATAATACACATTCCTAATGATTAAAGTGCTCTCTTTGTTAATTTTATATCAGTCGCCTCCGGAATTAACTTAAAATAATATAGAGGCCTAATGTTTAACATGAAAAAAAGAAGAGATGCGTTTGCTTATTTCGCCATAATGATTTTCAAACTGCTGCCAACATTAACCTAGTATGGAGTGAAAGATCCAAAGTTGATCAGACAGTACGGCGCTGGTTTCTGAAGTTCCGCAGCGGGGATACGAGCCTTGAAGATCAAGGTGGTAGAGGACGTTCATCCGCAAATGACAAGTAACACCTGGGGACGTCATTAATCAAACAAAACTCACGTCAATAGATCATTTATGATAATCCAACACTTTTCAAGACAGAAATTGCAGAAACAGAAAATTATGGCGACAGTCTGGCGATCCGCCATTGGCATTCTCCGTTACAACTGGATGAAATCCACACTCAGTTAAGCAAAATGGGATCATCGCTGGTTAATTGACGGGGTCAAATACCTACTCAATTACAGGTTGCCAGAATGACACAGCAGAATCTCATCGACTTGAGATACAAGACTTTGCCACATCTACTATACTCCCCTGATCTCTCACCAACTGACTACCACCTTTTTAAGTCTATCGACAACATTTTTAAACCCAAAGATATTCTGTTCTGAAGAAGATGTTGAAACTTTATTCAAAGCTTTCTTGGCGTTCAAGCTTTTAAAGTTTTCTAGTGAAGGCATAAATAAACCTGTAACTCGATGGTAGAGACGTATAGATCTTCAGGATTGCTAGTTTGACTGACTCAAAAGCTGATACAGTCAGTTATATGCCATGCGTGATACACACTTAGGCGATCATGTATCTTTCGATACATGACTGACGAGGCAGATGTTTTCTCGCAATAGGTTGCCATTTCTTTCTGCGGTAGACCAGTTGCCATCCAAGGCTATCGAATTGGTCTGTCTTGCTATTTACCTATAGATGGGGGGGGGAGTGTCATACGTTTCCCAAGGCTATACGCTGCTTACATACCATTATTCAGGAATAAAAGCTGATTAAAAATCGAGTATTATTTCACGAATAACCTAATAAAAAGGAAAATGTTAAACAGCATAAAATGAAGAAACAAAGAATGAATAATAATGGAAGTACAGTGAGCAAAACAGGAAAAAGAGAAGAATATAAAAGAAAGTTAAATGGAAGGAAATGGAGGAGAAAGAATGAAAGGGAGAAGGAAAAAGGAAAAAAAAAGACACGCTGAGAAAAAACAAAATGCTATTAGTAATAATGAGAAACTAATCATATTCAAGAAAACGTATTAAACTTGAAATCGTTAAAATTCCTTATACGCGCTGCTAAGGTATTGTCAAAGTTTCAGAGAGAGAAGGAAATTGAACTAGTTTGGTAAAGAAGAAAAAAACTCAAAGTATTTGAGAAACAGGAAGATATGGAGAAAGAATTTGAGAAAGAGGGTGAGAGAGACAGAAAGAGTGTGTAAGAAAGAGTTTGATAAAAAAAGAAGAAAGACAGAAAGAAAGTAATTGATAAACAGTAGAGTGAGGAAGAGAGATTGGGATAGAGGGTGAGAGATGGAGAAAGAGAGTAAAAGAAACGGTTTGACAAAGAGGAAGAAAGAGAGAAAGAAAGTATCTGATAAACAGGAGAGTGGGGTAGAGATAGTGAGAAAGAGTTTGAGAAAATGAGTAAAAAGAGAGAGAGAGAGAAGAGAGAGATTATTCTTAGGAAATAAAGAGTTCGATAAAGATGAAGAAAGAGAGAAAGAATCTATCTGATAAACAGGAGATTGGGGTAGAGATAGTGAGAAAAGAGTTTGAGAAAGTGAACAAAAGAAGAGAAGAGAGAGTTTGAAATAAAGAGTTCGATAAAGAGGAAGAAAGAGAGAAAGAAAGTATCTGATAAACAGGAGACCTGGGAGATAGTGAGAAAAGTTTTGAGAAAGTGAACGAAAGAGAGAAAAGAGAGAGCCAGAGAATGAAATAAAGAGTTCGATAAAGAGGAAGAAAGAGAGAAAGAAAGTATTTGATAAACAGGAGAGTGGGGTAGAGATAGTGAGAAAGAGTTTGAGAAAGTGAACGAAAGAGAGAGAGAGAAGAGTGAAATAAAGAGTTCGATAAAGAGGAAGAAAGAGAGAAAGAAAGTATCTGATAAACAGGAGAGTGGGGTAGAGATAGTGAGAAAGAGTTTGAGAAAGTGAAAAGAGAAAGAGAGAGAGAGAGAGAGAATGAAATAAAGAGAAAGAAAGCATTTGATAAACAGGAGAGATGGGAAGAGAGGGGGAGAAATAGTTTGAGGAAGAGGGTGAGAGATAGAGACAGAGAGTGAAAGAAAGAGTTTCATAAAGAGGAAGAAGAAGAGAAAGAAAGTATTTCATAAACAGGAGAAATGGGAAGAGAGAGAGAGAAAGAGAACGAAAGAGTTTGTGGAAAGAGACGAGAGAGAGAGAGAAAGGGAAAGAAGGAAACAAACAAAATTGTGAAAGAGGAAGAGAATGAGAGAGAAAGAGAGAGCAAGAGAAAAGGGGTTTCAGAAAGAAGAAGAGAGAAAATGAGATTGACGGAAAAGAGTTTGAGAAATACTACGTGTGTGTGTGAGATAGATAGATAGATAGATAGAGAGAGAGAGAGAGAGAGAGAGAGAGTGAAAGAAAGAGTTTGAGAAAAAAGGAGAGAGATTAAGACAGAGAAGGTTTTTGAGAAAGAGGAATAAAAAGAAAGAAAGAAATTGGGGAAAAAGAAGAAAGGAAAACGCTTGAGTAAGAGGAAGATAGAGAAAGTGTTTAAGAAAGTGAAAGAAAGAGAAACAAAGAGACTGAGAGGGAGAGAGAGATAAAGAAAGAAAGAGTTTGCAAGAAAGATAGAGAGCGAGAGATAATACGAGATAGAGAAAGCTACACGGTGTTGGCTGAAAGACATTTCCAAAGAATGATATGAAATATAGACGAAGACCTTCGTTTTCTTTGAATCAAGCTACCATGTGAATCAAAACGATGTTTTTAAAAATAAGAATTATGGCTGGCAGCATATCGTGTATTAGAAAAAATGGCTGTTCATGTAGCAGATCATTTGATAGTTAATGATATGAAAAGACGAAGTTGCGAATGGTGAGGAAAAGATGCCGATTGATTCGTTCAGGTGTTGCCAAGAACGATGTTGAAAAGGAAAAAAAAATGAAGAATTTGAATGAAAAATAATAAAGGAAAATCGAAGGAGTAAAAAAAAATACTAAAGTATTTTGGAAAAAAAAGGACAAGGATGGAAAACGAAGAGAAAGAAAGAAAGAAAAGAAAAGAAAAGAAAAGAAAAAGAAAAGAAATAAATAAAGAAAGAAAAGACAGAAACAAAGAAGGAAAAGAAAAAAGAAAAAGTAAGAAAGAAAAAAGAATAGAAAGAAAGAAAGAAAAATTTATGATAAGAGAAATGATTAATAGTTGAAAGAAAGGAAGAAAGAAAGAAAGAAATAATGAATGAAAGAAAGAAAGAAAGAAAGACAGAAAGAAATAAGGAAAAGAAAGAAAGAAAAGAAAAGAAAGAAAGAAAGAAAAAGAAAAAAGAAAGAAAGATAGAAAAATTAAGGATGAGAAAATGAATAATAGTTGAAAGAAAGAAAGAAAGAAGAAGAAAAGAAAGAAAGAAAGAAAGAAAAGAAAAGAAAGAAAAGAAAGAAAAAATGAAAGAAAGAAGAAAAAGAAAGAAAGAAAAAAGAAAGAAAAGAAAAAAGAAGGAAAAGAAAAAAGAAAGAAAAATTAAGGATAAGAGAAATGATTAATAGTTGAAAGAAAGAAAGAAAGAAAGAAAAGAAAAGAAAGACAGAAAGAAAAGAAAGAAAGAAAGAAAAGAAAAGAAAGAAAGAAAAGATAGACAGAAAGAAATAAGGAAAAGAAAGAAAAGAAAGAAAGAAGGAAAAGAAAAATGAAAGAAAGATAGAAAAATTAAGGATAAGAAAAGTGAATAATAGTTGAAAGAATGGAAGAAAGAAAGAAAGGAAAGAAAGAAAAGAAAGAAGAAAAAGAAAGAAAAAGGAAAAGAAATAAGAAAGAAAAGAAAAGAAAGAAAAAGAAAGAAAAGTAAAGAAAGAAAGAAGGAAAAGAAAAATGAAAGAAAGGTAGAAAAAATAAGAATAAGAAAAATGAATAATAGTTGAAAGAAAGGAAGAAAATAAAAAAAAAGTAAAAACGAAATTTGAAAGAATGCTTTTGAAAAGAAAGGAAGAATGATAATGTAATAAAAACCAAAAACGAACAAAGAAATGTTAAAAGAAAGAAAGCTTGAAAGAAAAGGGAATAATAACAACGGGGTGAAATTAAGATAAGTCAAAAAGAAAGAAAGAAAAGAAAGAAAGAAAGAAACGAATAAATAAAGAAAAGAAAAAAAAGAAGAAAAGAAATAAAGGAAGAAACGAATAAATAAAGAAAAGAAAAAAAAGAAGAAAAGAAAGGAAGAAAAAGAAGGTGAGAGAGAACATTTATGAAAAACAGACAGAAATGAATAAAAAGATAGAAAAAGAAAAAAAAAAGAATAATTTTTTTTCATAAGACAGAGTAAAATGTCAGTTTAAAAAAAAAATCAATAAAACTTGCTGGCTTCATATTTCCGACGGGTGCCCAGGTCGATGATGGAGTACAGGAAATGACGAAGCTGGTTCTCCTCAGTTGAGCGATTGGTGGCAAAGAATCTTCCGACACGCATTTCCCAGAATATCGCCGTATGCCATATTAATCATTGAATCTTAAAAATACCTTTGAGACTAAGAAATGAATACCGGAGAAGAAATATTCGAGAGAAAGAAAGAGAGAAAAGATAAACGATAAAAAAAAGAAAAGAAATATGAATAAAGATCTGCTCAAAAGAAAAGAAGAAAAAAAACATCGACATAATGTAAGAATGTATACGAATGAATTTTGAAAAAAAAGGAGGAAGAAAAAAGAATATTCGTGAAAAAGACTGAAAGTTTCTTGAAAAAAAGAAAAAAGAAAGAGGAAATATAGAAGAAAATTATCAGAAGGAAGTAAAAAATGGACAGATGAGGGAAATAAAGGAACGAGAAGACGAAAGTTCTCGAAGAATGTGTAATATAAATATTAACATGCACATAACGTGACAAAGAAATGATTAATTGTCTTTTGATTGGACACAAATATTTCTCTCTTTTCTGATTGGTTAGAAGAATTTAGATCCTGATTGGTTAGAAAAGATAACAATAAAAATCAATCGCTTGTTGATCGCTTGATACACTTACAAAGAATATACAGCCACAATAACACCAGCTGAATATTGTCTTCTATAAGCATATATATATATAACCAAAACCAAAGACGTAACCAATCCCCAGGTGGTTGTTCATATTAAACTATATTAAAAAACAAGAACACTATAACAAATTTGGAAAAAATCGCATATAATATATTTTATATTATATTTAAAATATATATTTATATTATATTTAAAATATATAATATTTTAAAACTGTGGTTGATATGCTTTCCCACATTCCCACCACATAGATTTGCTATGAATTTTCTATAAATACACCCCTGATCAAAATCTTAAAACCAGATACAAAAGGACTATAAAAAAAAAAATACTTTTTCTTTAATCAAAATATATTCAGCAATCCTGCCATGTTCGAACTTTGTTAAAATTTTACCCTTAGCCATTTTAAAATCTGAAATTAAATACTGGAAATTAGCTACGTAGATGTCTACATGCCAGAATCTGTGAGCACACTGACTATATATATATATATATATATATATATATATATTTTTTAAGCGTTACACCCCAAACAAGGCGGGAAGCCACTAGCACGCAAGGGGTTACAGAGAATTGAAGCGAGAGCAAAGAGGAGTGATAGAGGAAAAGATGAAGAGAAGTTTAGGGGATAGATCAAGGCATCTGGAGATGTCGATTGACATTACATTTGAATAGTTGGAGATTATAGCTATCAGGGAAACAGGAAGAGGGGAGGGAGTTCCGCAGGTGAGAGGTGCGAGACATGAAGCTATTGGAGTAGAAGTGACGGCTACATTTAACAGTTTCGACAGTAAAAGGGTGTGAGCGAGATGCCAGCCTAGTAGTTCTAAAATTTTTGTCCAGTAATTTGTTTTTTTTTTCACACATGGTCTAATCTTTGTGACCATGCAAAAAAAAAAAATCCTTTTTTCAATGTTTGTTTAAATTAATCAGTTAAAAGCATGAAATGTTCACTTGTTTGTTGATAAACTACATTTTCTAATTAAATGTAAATGTTTCGCAAATATATTTTGATTAAAGTAACAGTATTTTATATATACTTTTTTTAAAAAAAATCCTTTTGTATCTGGTCTTAAGATTTTGACCAGGGCTGTCTTTTCATGGTAATTGTTATTTGGTACCTTAACTTTAGGAATTTAAGCGAAACACTAGATGGTGCATCTGCTATGCATTTAGAGATTCTATTTATAATACAAAGAAGAATTTGCAATGTCATTGTTCCTCATTTGGCATCTCGCCTCAGTCACTTTCCCTTTACTGAGGGGTAGCTTTCCTGTGACTTTTCTATAAATATTTTCATGGTAATTGCTCTGATGTGCTTTCACCTTTGGTATCTAGACTTTATGAATTTAACCGTAGCAGTAGAATGACGGTCTCATAGGTTTACAGTTGAATTGGCTAGATGTAACCGTAAGTTCTATGCCAACAGTTACTTTTCTCGCACTTCTCGTTTGTGAAGCCCTCTTCAGGCTTCTTGCTTCCAAGTTAAATTTAATCTTCAAAAAATTAAATACAATGTCAATCCTTATCTAATCTGTTCTTGATTCCATTTTCTCGTTCCTTAATGGTTTTGTAGTTCTTATTCTTCCACACACAATAACCCTTGCGTCTTAGTGGCTTTATTCCCTTGCTTGGGATGAAATGGTTTAAAAACAGGTTAACAAACAAGTTTCATAATATACAAAAAAAAAAAATAAATAAATTCGGACTTTTTTGGTCTAAGATATTCAAGCAATCCCACCTCGTACATAATCATTCTTTTTCTTTCTAGGCATTGTCCAAATCTATTAAAATATGTTTTCTTTAGAATGGACAAGAGTTTAACCTAAAAGTTTCATAAAATACCGAAAAACTATTTTGAAGACTACAATCATGCACTAATGAAGTTCAGCAAAAATAGTTTTGCTAAATTAAATTGGTGGACATTTTTATATTCACGAGTATTTATCTTGTAGAAAAAGTAAAGCCTCGTTTTGGCACTGCATAAAATCTCTAATAGTGTTCTTCGCTTCCTTCTCTTGTAACATTTCTCTGTGTGATTGAATAAATTGTACAAGTCTGCAGGCTGACATTCGTTGAAATTCTTCTCTAGTCAATGTGTAGGTGGAGTTCACTCTGATTCGACCCAAAAGAGGTTTGAACATTAAAAGGTTTATATATTACCATGCTTCTCAAAAGGTTGAAATATGGCAATATATATTTCCAGGGAGTTTCAAAAAGTATTACGAACCACTAACGTCTTCCAATTTTTACTGTATTATTTTAAAACCATTTTACCCCAAGCAAGGCAATAAAGCCGGTAAGATTCAAGTGATTACCGAATGTTAGAGAACAGAACAAAATAAAACATTATTAAGGAGAGAGAAAACAATAAAAGAGGAGGAATTAAGAAGATAGAAGATATCGATTCACGTTGTAAGTTAAATTTTAAGATCAAACTTGACTGGGAACCAAGAGCCTGGAAGAAAGTTCCACAAGACTGAAGTGCGATACAAGAAACTTTTAGCATAGAACTAACGGTTACATCGAGATATTTCAAGTATAAAATGATGAGAGCTTGCCGCCAAACTAGTATTGCTGCGTACCAAAGAGCAAAGTTCAGCAGAATAATTACCAGGAAAATATTTATAGAAAACACATAATGAGTGACACAGAATTTTATAGAATCAGAATCCTTTGAGAAAATATGTTTTTCTTATTTTTATATAAAAAAGATTAATTTGCAGTGTAACACCCGCACTTAATTCGCATTAAAAATTTCCCAAATACTTACATTTATGTGTAATTGTACATACTCCATTCGAATCTGTCTTGATGAATTTGATAAAATCTATACCGTTTTGGAGTTATCGACAGTGAAATTTGGGATTCAATAGCGCCGTTGACGGCAGCCATTACTGGCGTTGTTTGCATACATTCGCTGCGGAAAGCTAAACGCGGAAGACTACAGAAAGCTAAGCTCGGAACTGATGTTTCTTGATTAAATTTGTCTCAATTACTACGCACGAGAACTATTTACGTAGACACGCACAGTTTGCGGAATGATACCTACACTGATAGCTTTTCAAAAAGACTTAATATATCGATCATCTTGAAATTCCTCGTGACACACTTCTGGAAGTAGCAAGTAACTTACTTAATGCAAATAGATAGCAGAACAGCATTTCTAAGAGCAACAACGGACAGGAAAATGTGAAGTGTCGTAGTCGCTTATGTCTTCAAGGATTTATTGATTCATTTTTTATGGCTTATCAACCTTTTGCAGGTCATTTAAAACCAGAAAATATTTTAGATTGTAAGATAAGATTTTTTTTTAGATAATAATACTGCAGAGATACAAATCTTACTAATTTAAAATTTTAAAGATCAAAGTCGACTGATGCCGAAAAAGAGTTCCACAAACGAGAAGTACGAGAGAAGAAACTATTAGCATAGAACTTACGGTTGCATCTCGCCATTTCAACAAAATGAACAGAGAGTATAATTCATACTAAAATATATATGGGTCGGAGGAGAAGAGGTGTATTAATACCTTTTCCAAGGGTATTTGCACGTAACTGAATATAACAAACCCAACGGGAATTGGAACTCGGCTCTCCTATTCCCAATTTCAAGCCATTATCCATTACACCACTCACCACACGTCCAAGCTTACAGCACCCGGTATTTCCCAGCAGTCACCCATATAGGTACAGACTAGGATCAAGGCTGTTCCATCTTACAGACGATCAAAGGATTGGAGATGCCAAAATGAAAGAAATACGAAAATATTCCATCTAAACTTGTAGTATTATTTATTGGTATCTTTTCTTTTTATGTATCAAATTTATTCCATCAATAAACCGTTATCAGTCTGAAGAAGTTCCTTCTCGGACCAAAACGCGTCTTTACTAATTTTTTCCAACTTGATTGTTTGATGTGCTTTCTACGGATTATCAACATGTTCAGGTTATTTAAAGGTAGAAAATATTTTAAATTTCGAGAATTTTTTTTGAGATAATAATGATTAAGTGAAACAAGTTCACAGTGCCTGGTATTCAGAAGCGGTCACTTTTCGAGGTATTGACCAGGCTCGACGTTGCTTAACTTCGCTGATCGTACGGGAACAAATGTTTCAAAGTGGTGTGGTTGTAAGTCAATGCCACGAAGGAATACGGAATGCAACAGAAAGAACAGTTATATGCGGGTGTGTGGTTGACAGTTCTAGACAAACAAGCTTTTAAAAATAAGTTTAAGCTGTAAGGATATATCACTTTGTCACATACATACATACATCTATC